AGCCACCTCCTTCATAGCCAGGGAGCTCTTCCTGGCATGAGCCACCTCCTTCACAGCCAGGGAGCTCTTCCTGGCATGAGCCACCTCCTTCACAGCCAGGGAGCTCTTCCTGGCATGAGCCACCTCCTTCACAGCTAGGGAGCGTTTACTGGCATCAGCAGATGAATCTAGGTAACACTACTCACTACATTCTTTTGAACAGTGTAGTAATCGTTCTTGCATTCTCAGCAGTCACTGATGCTTACTGGTGGTGCTTCGTTCATGCATTTGTATCAATTTTTACTTTACCGCAGGCGGCAACCAGTCGCAACCGTTCATGCATTCAGAGCAGTCACCGATCCTTAGTGGTGGTGCTTCGTACTTTGAGGGCGACCGCGAGGATGATGACCAAGCTACAAACATTTATGGCTTCTCGCAGACAGTGTTTCACACTCCACCACCACCACCGATGCAGGAGACACAGACCGTGACAGATGAGGTTAACTATGGTCATGGTTATCGCGAGCCTCGTCCACCGCCTCAGCGCTTATCGCCTTCCGGTCCTCGCCCGAGGAAGACCCAGACTCGTCGTCGTCCCCCGCAGTGATATGCTTATCTATCTATGTATGACTCATTATCTATGTTAGTTTCAGACTATTCGCAGCTGTGTGTCAGTATTTATGTATGAGACATACTTCATGTATGTGTTACTATCGCACTTGCTTCTATGTGATCAGGAGACATATATTGTTTTATGTATGCGAGAGACATATTACTATTAATTCGCATTCTTATTCCAGTTACATTTCCAAATAGACTACAACCGATAATTAAGATACAAGTACATCTGAATTAAACGGTGCGGCTGAACTTGTGCAATACATCTTACATACTACAAAATGAAATTCAGATAGAACATAATGTCCTACAATAATACAATACAAACTAATAATGCAAATATATCTGAATGAAACGGTACAACTGGAATACATCTTACATACTACATGAAGTCATCATCATTATCCTCCGTTGATGCAGCCCTCTTGCCCTTCGACGATGCGCTCCTCTTGCCCTTTGTCGATGCAGAACTCTTGCCCTTGGTCGATACAGAACTCTTGCCCTTCGAGGATGCAGAACTCTTGCCTTTGGACGATGCAGAACTCTTGCCCTTCGACGATGTAGAACCCGGAAGCGGCGGCATGAAGATATCATCGTCGTCCTCGCTCTCCTCAGTCCATAAAAATGGATGCTTTTATGCAGTCCTTCTGAAAGTTTCACTCTTCGGCTCCACCACCTTCTTCCACCTTTCATGCAACCTAAGAAGTTCTTTACGTACCTCCTCATAGGTCCTTTCAGGCCACCCAGACCTACGTAATTCGTGAGCCAACTCATTCATTATGGTGTCACTACCGGTGAGTTCGTCCCATGGAACTATCCTATTGTCCATCCTGAAATCGGTAGCTAGACTCAGCAGAGTGCTGCTCATCTCAGGGTGAAAACTACGATCGAATGGATAATGGGACATCTCGACTACACTACACTGGAATGCTTATCCACCTCCGCCTGAAGGGGGTTTTATAGATACAGAGGAGAAAATGGCGGGAAAGAATAACTGTGGTATGGCGGGAAAGGGTTGGCGGGAAAAAAAGGCGGGAAGGGATTGGCGGGAAAAAAAGGCGGGAAGGGATTGGCGGGAAACGGGTGGCGGAAACATATGGCGGGAAGGGGTTGGCAGGAAACGGGTGGCGAGAAAATACATTTTAGTGGATTGTATGAGCCATGCAACTTCAGCCTACATGAGAGAAAAAAGTACTTTTCGGCCTAGACTTGACCAAAAAGTCTATTTCGGCCAAGACTTGACCAAAAAGTCCTACTTCAGCCTATGTGTGGCCAAAAAGTCATACTTCGGCCAGGAGATGGCCGAAAACCCTACTTCGGCCTAGCTGTGGCCGAAAAGTCCTACTTCGGCCCACAGATGGCCGACGGGCTACTACTTTTGATTTTTAAGCAAATTATGGTATAGTTTCTGAAAATGCTATAAAATATATCATAGTTTTGAAAAAAAATCTAAATAATCAAACGTACATAGTACAGAAACCGCGCAAAATGTCTAAGCAGTACTCTCAATATCTTCTTCTTTAGCCTGCGTTCACCTGCCAGCCCGATCCCTAAACCCTGCATATCCCTCTAAAAACTAACGAGTGAGCATTCATGGCCCAACCATCGGCGGCGGCCCACTTGCCTCGGCAACTCCATGGCCCTTAGCCTCGCCTCCTCCTATAAATTCCCCATCACTGGCCCCAAAACCCTAAATGTTGCCCCCCAAATCCTCAATGCTACGCCGCGCACCATGATCCGCAACAAGGCCAATGCTCCATGGTAGCTAAGGGGGATCGATTCAGCCAATGCCTCCTTGTCCTCCTCCGCCGCTCCTGCGCCACGCCCCGTCACAGTCCTCCTCCGTCGTCCTCCTCATTCCTCCTCCTCCAACGGTGAGGACGACTTGATGTCCAACTCTTATTTGCAGTCCCAAATCCTACTCGATCTGACATTCATGTGGTTCACAGTATGAGATAATAAATCTTGTTAAAAACATGTAACCAGAAATATATGAAAACATGGTAACAGAAATTCACCGCACTTGGTATGAAGAAATGACAGAAATGAGTAAAGAAAGGAGGCTATTTGTCGCTCAACTGCATATAGACTGTATTCTCAATCAATTGACGTCAGTACAGACCCAGGGACTATTACTAGTAGTTCCCTTAACAGATGGATGATAAGAACTTCTCAACACATCAACATACTAAATGATATAGTTCGTAGTTCTCTTCTACTGTGAATGAACAATACTGGAGCATATATATACTAACGTTCAGTACTAGAATGATACTCCCTCTGTAAACTAATATAAGAGCGTTTAGATCACTACTTTAGTTATCTAAACACTCTTATATTAGTTTACAGAGGGAGTAGTACTGATAACGCACCACTACAGGAAGGAAAAATAAAACTGGTTGTTGAATGCCAGGCCATGCAGTTCAGCAACCACAAAGGTGGAACACCAAATGAAGGGTAGAGTCGCTGTAAATCTTGTAGTCCGCCAGGGTGCGGTGGTCCTCCAGCTGATTGCCAGCAAAGATGATGCGCTGCTGTCTAGGGGGAACGCCGTTCTTCTCATAGATCTTCACGTTGACACTGTTGATGGTATCCGATTGCCCGACTTGAAGGGTGAGGACCTTCCCTTGCGGCATCTTCACGAATACTTGCATCACAAAAGTTGGACTACATGGGAGGAGGATAAGGAGAAGAGTGGACCCTTTACAAATGTTGTGGTCGGCCAAGGTGAGCTTTTCGTCCTCCAGCTGCTTGTTGGCAAAGATGAGGCACTGCTGGACCTTGGGAAAGCCCCCAATGTCTTTGATCTTGGCCTTCACGTTGTCAATGGTGTCTAGGCTGTCGACTTCGAGAGTGATGGTCCTGCCTTCTAGCGTTTCCGTCACAAAGATTTGCATCTTTTCTTGGACGTCAAGTGGGAAATCATGCTTGATGCCATAATCCACCAATGTACGGTTGTCTTCCAGCTGCACCCCGTCGAAGACAAGGCCATACCGCTCCTGGATCTTTGCCTTGATAGTGTAAAGGGTGTCTGACAAGTGGACCCCCCCCCCGCCCCCCTAGACATATTTCCTGCCCGCGGGATTCTTGACAAAGATGTGCACCTTGGATGGGCTAGAAAACCAAAAATCACCAATTGTTAGACAATATTTAGGCTGTAGAAC